CCTGAACAGGATCCCTCCTGCCCCATTTCTGCAAACTCTTAGGCCTTAGCAGTCATCTGACCTGCCCTCAAGACTGTGAGCTGCTGAATCTTCTGGCTCATCATTTCCATGACAGCCCGTTTCATGGTGTGTTTCTCCTGGAGAGTTGGCTGGATTTTCTTCATCTGCTTGGTTAGGAAGTCTATCTTCCTCTTGAAGAAGTCCTGGGCATCCTCAGCTGTTGTCTCTACATAGTAGCCAGTTCCCACATCAATGAGCATGTGTTCCACATCATGTAGCTTCCCAGGGACATACTGGGAACTTGTCAGTGGGAGGAGTAATTCTTGCCCTTCGTTGCTCTTGTTCAGCATGTTCAGACAATCCTTGGCTTCCACATGCTTAGTCTGTACCATCGTGAGCTGGGCAGTGGACGTGGACAAGAACCTCACTTCCTGGTCCAGCTGATTTTTGAGCATTTCTAGCTGTGGCAGATTCAGCTCGGTGATGTTAATCGACTGTGCCATGTTGGGTAGGACTTAAAAGACATGTTTTTATGTTTGTAGTGCTTGCTGTACGTATCTGATACTCAGTATATTCCAGAGATACCTTTAAAAATTTTAGCTAGTCAAACAACTGTAAAATACTACAACAGCACAATAAGAATAATTCATGCTAATGTTGAGTAGTAACAGAACTGATTCTGCAGCCATTTTTGGTCACACAAACCTTCAGCTGATGATATTTAAGAAAGAATCTGGAGATCACAGCTTGGAAGGGAGGGTCAAATCTTACATGAGTGTTTCTGATGATGAAGTCCTTAGTGTGTGGGGGTAAGGAGATAGGTTATGGGCAGAGTTTTAAACTTTTTACATCAGCTTCTTCCTTTCAGGGATTCCCACTAAGAGGCAGTGTAACCCCAGGAACAAAAATGAAGCCCCTCTGGCACTTGGTGCCTTGGAAACCTGGAGATGAGGTTCCCGAGCATCCTGGCACAATACAGAATGGCAGATGCTAGGAGGTGAAATAGAAATGTGCAGGTTTTATATCTGGCAACAAGAAAAATTAAGCTGGTGAATATAACCTCTCTGGAGTAATATGTGGTTTGAGGTTTCAAGACATTAAAAAAGGAAATGGAATGAATTCTCTTTTCAATATGTCTTTTCAAAGTTTTATTTACTTCCCCTGAAGTTCTTTGCTTCTGGTATGAATGCTGTGGATGGGCAGTGGATTGGATGCTTTTAAGAAGCAGCACGGGTGCAGGAGAGCACAATCAAAGCGGTGATAGACGCCTGCAGATCTGTCCAGTGCTCTCGGCTTATTGGTCCCTCCGGGATCGCTTGGAAAGTACCAAAGGAAAGAAATTTTCAGGCTGTAGATGGTCGAGTGCTATAGTGAGATCACTTACTAATCTTTAAACAGTACTTCATGCTGTTGTGTGTGTGTGTTTTAGAGGCCAATTTGTCTTATTATCTCCTGCTAGCATAGGATATAAGGTCACATTCATAAATATAAACAGCGCCACAACAAAGGGTGAAGAAAAGCCTCTAGAAGAACTAAATATTTGACCAATTGCATAACTATGAATTAAGCAGGAGTCCATTATTAAGCTAATAAACTCTGGGTGTGCGCACATGTGTGTGTGTAGTGTCGTGCTATCCTGCACAGGAAATATCATCTCAGCATAGCGGGCCCTTGTATAATTTGAAAACAATATACAGAAAAGTCATTAGTCTGACTATGGACAAGAGCAAATTTTCTTCGGTTTAATTTTTTTCTGGTTCATTAAAATGTCATCATGGAGGAATTGTGGGTTTCTACTGGAGTTTGAACATCTGTGTTATTATGCTATATTATCCAGAAGATTTTCCATATTCTGCAAGAAAAAAACAATACTGTTAGAACTCAAAATTAGATGCATAGCTTACTTAGGGTAGTACTCTGTGTACGCACATAGAATTTGTGTGTATGCAGGTACATTTGTGTATGTTTCTGAGTGTGTATCTAGTGTGAGGAGACATCATGGAAGGCCATTCTAATTTTCTGTTATATTTGGTTTCTTGAGAGTGACATGGGAATTTCTAGAAAATAGTCTGAGCAAGCTCTTAGATTTACAAGAGATGTCTGTATATGAGAAGTGAAGAAATCGCCAAAGGAGTCTAAAAGCAAAATGCTACTAAACATATTTAATGAAAATAACTCAGATATTAAGGCATTTATCATAAAGTAAGAAATGCGCTGCCTCTATGACATACCATAATCCTTTATTTGCAATCATCTATTTAGATATGTATTTATGATGTGGCAGGTCATGGGATTCAAAGTCGAAACAATCTAATTATGTACAGATTACCTAAGTATTTTTATTGAGATTTAGACATTATGTACAGAAAACATAATGCTCAAATATTTAACTGTAATGAAAGAAAGAGCAGTGTGAGGAAGTGTCAGCATTTATACACAAGCCCAAAATGATATCGTACCTAGTAACACAGGAAATCACAGGAAATGAAGTGGAGCTTCCAGAACAGAACATTACTAACTTTGTTTCGTTTTCATTTTTTTGGCTATTAGTGCCATTCACACAGCCTTTAAGTAGAATACCACCTCATTTTATGAAATATATTTCTAAGTTGTTTTCCAGTGTGAGAAGGAGGGGCACGTGCGTGTATTTTGTTTCTTAGCATTCAGAAATGCCACACAATTCTGACTTCACAATTGCACATATCTTTAAGGAGAAAAGTAGAAATCCGATTCATGTGACAAACTACAGTCCACTTTGTGCTCCCATTGTGCCTGTTTTTTCTGCTTCCAGAGCAACATTGTCGGCCACTGAGTCACACTGTGGCTGTAGGTAAGCTGTGGAACAACAGACACCATTTCGGGAAGCTCAGATTGAGGGAAAGACAGCATAACTGTGCACTGAATTTACATTTACATTGAAGTCAACAACTTTACCAATGTATGGCTGCTACCATTGACTATCAGTCTTCAATACGTGGCTTCAGGAAACATTGAAACAGTTCCTGATTGTAATATTATCGGAATAACTGTGTTAGCTCATGATGGATTCATCGTCCCTGTAAGTGCAAGTTTTTGTGTATGGTCTGGTTTTCTTTAATCTTTTTATTTGGGTGGAACTCAGCTTATGCTTGCAACAAACCCTTTAAAGATTAGTGTCTGATTACTTACCTTCTGAATTTTGGCACTCTCATCGGTCATTTATGAACTATTCTAAGTCTTCATGTCTTCTACCAATTAAAGAAGATGATAGCTTCTACCTATGATAAAATTCACATTGTATTTCTATTATAACTTATTTGTAAGAAAATTACATATCATGTTATTTGCTCATAATTTGTAGGTTTCCTGTGCTCTGAACTTGGCACATCCTGCCACGTTCTGTTTATTTGACAACTAAGTTTTTTAGCTGAAAGTCTGTGTTCAGCTGTTTTGCGACATGGCGCCATATGTTGCTTTCTGCAGTGTAACAATGTGAGGCACCTTCATAATGAAGTCTGGACGTCCTCCAGGAAGGAACGTGATACGGTCCTCCTCGTGAACTGTGAAATCCTGCACTTGCACGGTGTCTCACCCCGCAGATAATGAGCGTTCTTCACAAACAGGTTTGCTTAGGGGCCTGAGAGAAAGGGCTATGCTGGGGAGGTGCAGTGGCAACTTTAGTAGCAGGTTAATTGCTAGCTCTAAAACATTTCTGTAGCCTTTTTTTTTTTTTTT